TAAAATTTTCTTTAATCAAAAGTCCCCCTTTTTTAGCTAATGACACACCTATCCCATGGTTTTCTTTGGTAAAAACTTATCCTGCCGCAAAAGATAAGGCAAATACCCACCATTCCTTCCCTCCCAGCCCTCTTTCTTCACATCCACAGCCAAAAAGAAAGAAACAGCAGATGGTTCCAGCAATGAAGGTCTCTGCTTTCCAACTCAGTCCTCGTCTCCACATCTCGAACCCCCATGGCCATCAAAGTCAACCACTAAAGCTTCTCGCACCAACTTTAAAGCTCAAGCCATCGGTAATAAGAATCACCACAGTCCGTACTCTTCCCTCGTTTAAGAAACTGCTCTATTTCAATTCTCATGAGAAGATCGCAAAAATGAAGTTTTTTGAGAAGGATTCATCGATTGAACTCCAAAGATTGCTTCTTTTTGGTGGTTTCTCCTTCGCTTTTGCTATTCTTCTTCTAGGGTTTGATGGGCAGCAGGAAGCCATGGCTTTTGGACCGGAGGGGCCTCTGGTTGAGGAGTTTTGGGATAATGTGAGGAGATATGGCATTTACTTCTTGACAGTGAGCACAGGAGCAATATACACTATTCTGCAGCCAATTTTTGAGCTTTTGAAGAATCCTGTCACTGCAATTTTGATTATTGTTCTGGTTGTGGGAAGTTTTTATCTTCTGTCTCAGGTGCTGAGTGCCATGGTAGGAGTTTCAGAGTTTAGTTATCAATATGCATATTGAATACTTATTATTAAAACTATCTGGGTTGCAATGAATTATCCTGTTGGGCTTTTGTTTCCTTTTCTTCAATTCTTCAAAGGGTTGCTTGTTTGGATGGATTTAAAATGCATGTAAGTTGGGATTAAGAGTCAGATAAGTAGGGCATTAACATACATACCAAACAATTCTTATGTATTTACATGTCAAAAACCTAAGCATTCACAGTTGAATGCAAAATAATTTCATCATTATCGCTTTTCAAAAGTGAACTACACCTTACATAAATAGATTTATGACAAGAAGATGTTATAAGTGTGAATATCAAACTGTACGGGTTAGGTGTGTAAATACATATGAATTTTATGTTATGTATGTATATTTCCCAAGTAAATGTATGTATTGATTTGTTTGAAATTATTTGGCTTGATGTAAAAGTTTATTGAGTAAAACTTGTTTCTTATTTGGCTAGATGGAGCATTGTTACTATCGAGTATCATAGATTTCTGCAGACTCTCTAGTTAAAAAGGACTAAAAGGGCGATTACGAAGGATGAGTGCAAGTGATGGGAGTAAGTTGGACTTAAATCCTTTGAGTGATACTTTAATCTTACCCCAGATTTCAATTGATAAATTGTTCTAATTACTATAATGTGTGTGTGAGGATAAATTATTACTTCGGCTAATTCTACATCCAGATGACAATCCAAATAAGGCCACACGGCCTTTATCTCACAACAGCCCATCTGAATCATCGTCCAGACGTGTCTGCATGTAATAATGTATCGTTTGTAAGAGAGAGAGAGAGAGAGACTAAAGGTCTCATTATTTTGTTTGCTTTAGCAAGATGCACAAAATATTTTACTCTTTGTCAAGCAAAACATTATATGAGAGTTATCACCCTCGGCTCATTGATACTCATATCATATCATATGATATTCATTCTTTATTACTCCCAATATAGATCAGGTTTACGCCATTGACTCATTTAAATGAAAGTCCATCGACTGACCATTCTGTGTTAAGGTATCATAGGCATCCCCCAACGACCCTCGTCCAAATCTCCCACACTGCTTCCCTCCACCGAACCTTGTCGCCTCCAAAGCTTCATTCCTCACAACTTCAATGACGACGATCTCGAACCGTCGAGACTCTTTGTTACCTCCATTCATCGGATAAAAACTGTGTTACTTGCTTATTCCTCAGCTTACGAGCAAGAAGAATTTTGAGCCTTCACAGGAAGAAGGGAGTGGAAGATAATTAATAAGGAGTCAGAGCTTCTTGGGAATTTAATTGTGATGGCATAAGCGGTGATGGTGAGGAGATGGTGTCGGCAGGCATCTGCTTTTTTGCGTCGGCAAAGAAGGCATCGTTGGTGGTAAACATCAGCGTTGCAGGCAAGGAAGAAGTCAACATTGGGGTCAGTGTCGAAGAAGACATTGCGATTGGAGTCGAGATGTTGGGAGCTGTTTGAAAACACAAAAATTAAAGTTTTTCTGTTGTATGTTTTTGAAAAATAAAAACACTTAGATTTGAAAATGAGATAAAAAAAGATTAAAAAAACTACAAATAAAATTTTTTTTTTGTTATATATTCTATTTTTTTAAAATAATAATAATAAAAAATAGAAAAAAAATCATTTCAATCAGTGTCTTCACATTGTCATCACTCACAGTTACAGCTTATTAAAAAATT